AAAGGGATATAACTACCAGTTGTTAGAGGAAATTTCTAAACTATATTATTGTAGGCAGTAATTATTACTGTCTCCAAAAAATAGAACATATATATTTAATATAATTAAGTATTTTTGCACACAAGCTTTTGATAAAATTGAAATTATTCTTGAAATGATTTAAACAGCTGTATTATATGTAATACTTCCAGGTTACTATTTCAAACAATACCAGTCAAGACATTGTTTTGTGTCCAATTGAAGTATATTTAAACTGATGGCATTTGTATTGCAGTCCTATGAAAAAGTTTGCATAAAATTGTTCGTTTAAGATTTATATAGTGCACTCCTAATAAAGTTCCTTATATGCTTAATGAGTATATTAATCAATCATCAAAATAAAGAGATGCACCTGTTTTACATTTTGAATAAAATCTAAAGCCAGCAAAAGGATCTGTTAACCTACCCTTAGTTTTTATGTGTAAACTTAATTTTAAACCAAGTGTACTTTGCGTTTAAAGGAATGGCTTTGTATTTGTGATAATGCAGTGCAGTTCTGTCACCACCACTTGAGAGAATGGCATTTTCTACAGGAATTTTGTTTTATGATGCAAGGATTAAATAAAAGCATATATTGCAAATGTGATTGGGGCCAAGAACACAATTAAGATTTTTACTATGAAAACAAGAAAAAGCAAATCCTAATTAATGGAAATGGGTAGGATTTCATGATGTTGGACTCTATGCTGGCTTTACAAGTTAATAAGACTTGGACTTTAAAAATGAATAATATGGGCTATAAAATGAACCTGTCTGTTTCAGTTCCAGACCATGTAATCCCACATGCATTTTAACAGTAGCCAGATAGATGCCTTTTGTGAGCAAAGACCTTATCCTGTTGTCCTTCTCAATTTAAGGAACTGATGCATTGCGGCCTTGCCTTGAATACTAAAGTTCTAATGAGGTAATATGGTCACTGTTAGTTACTGTACGCTTCTCCATCCCTCACCGTTGCCCTTACTTCTCAGGCCAGGTGGGGGAGGGCAAGGGGCAGGACCAGCCAGTGATGGAACAGTAAGCTGGAGTAGAGGGTCCAATGCGGATCTGGAGCTGCAAGTTTCCAACCCCTCCTAGGTCCTTGACAAAGTGAGGGTCATCTACAAGATTGTTTACGCCCAACTTGTATTTGGTGTTCTGATTTTTTTTGCCAATGTGCAGGACAGAGCATTTATTAGTTGAGATTTGGAGTTGCCAAATGCGTGACCAATCTGACACAGTCAAGGTCACTTTGTAGGGCAGCGGCATTGTTGGTGGTGTTAAATAATTTTACGTCATCAGTGAAGAGGACACAGCTGCTTTTAATGATTGCAAGGTCACAAATTGAGACAAAAATCAATCATGCTGTGATCACTGTTGGAAAAGGGTTCTTTAACTTGTAAACCATAAATTGAGTTTAAGCAATTACAGAAGATAAGATCTAAGCAATTGTTGAGCCTAGTATTGTTCATGACCAACTGCTCCAGCCCGAGAGTCGTAACAGCATTGTACAGAGTTGCATGCATAGGTTCAGTTGTACATTCGTTTAGGGTCCAATTAATAATGGGCAAATTGAGGTCACCAAGAAAGATAAAGGAGTGCGGGCAGGAAGCTGCCCATATTAGTAGTGCAGTTAGCTTGTTTGTATGACCAAGGTCATAATCAGGGGCTCTTTAATGTAGCAAGAAATGAACTGCGGTATTTAGGGACAGTTCGCAGACAATGGTCTCAGGAAGAGCAAACTCCTGTGTAATGATTATCTTCTTCAGACCTAGAGACTTTTTAGAGAAGATAGCAACACCACCCTCTCTACAATTAACGCAGTCAGAAAATGCCAGTCACTTACTGTAATAATGGAGTCTGGAAATGATACATTCAATCATGTCTCGCAGACAACTATAAGGTCAAATAGGGCTGCATTTAGAAGCAGGAGGAATTTGGGCATTTTGTTTGTGAGCCTTTTTGTATTAAGTAGCTTGCATTTTAGGCCTGCAGGGGTGGACCTGAAGGAACTTGGAGGCATGCATGCCTACTTTTGGTTGTTGAGGGGGCAGTTGTTGAGGCATGGGCCACTGATGTTGCGTTTGATAGTCAGCACAGTAGTCTATGTACAGGTCACAGTCTCTCCTTGGTCCTGGCAAGCTCCGCTTGGAGCACGTTGCAGTATGGACAGGTTGGGCTGTGAACGAAGTTTCCTATGGTTTGTGCAGTTTTTGGCGAGTTAGTGTATTGTGGAAATGAATTTGTGTTAGTTTCACTATTGCAAACGACTCTGCAGAAGCGTTGTGGCCACTGAGCCGTCACTATTCTTGAACTCGGGGCCGTCGCAGTAAACATCGATTTCATTAGGAGCGATGGTTGATGCCTGGAAGTTGTTGAGAATGTTGCGAACCTTTGTGATGTCGTTGGACTTGGTGTCATCCAGTCCAAATAAGATAGCATTGGGACGTTTCTGTTCGTGTTCAAAGTCTTTGACAAGGATGGAAATCTAGCAGGATTAGTGATTTCCTGTGGCTTGGATTGTCGTGCTGTGTCATGATTCCGGGATATTGGTATTTCACTTTTCCACATTTTACCCTTTTCTTCAAGGGATGCTAGACGCACTTCTAAAGTGTCCACCCGTTCAAGGAAAACAATAAATTTGTCAAGTCTGGTCTTGCAGGATGGGCAGAATAGTGGAAATACAAACTGGGAGGTTTTTAGTGATGTTAATTGAAGAAACTGGGCTACACCTTTCATTAATCCCAAACGCTTGTAGTGGGCCTTTGAGTGACTTAGGGAGCATTTGATGGTACTGTCATCCTCCTCAAATGCTTCATCACAGACAAAGCACATGCAAGAGTCATAAAACTCATCAATAGCAGTCCCCTTCTCTTTGGATGGGGGCTTGGCAGTGGTGTTTGCCAGTCATGATTGTCTGAGGCGTTGGTGTGTTATTTTTTTTTAAAAAATTATATGGCTGGGTTCTTCACAGCAGCCAGTGGGAGAATCGCCTTCCACTTAGCTCGCCTCATCAGCTCTCGGGAAGTTGGCCTCCCTTCATAGCGGTAGTCAACTCACTCCCTGGCTCTCCCTGGCTGCCCAGCTATTTATTGCTGTTCATTTTATTGCTTACTTTTTGCTTGGGAGACTCCTCAGATCACCTCGGCTTCCCTCCCTGTTAGCCTCAGATATGAAATTGTCTTGCCATTTGTTTGGCTTCAGGGGCCTTTCTGATGTTACCAGCTAGCCCCAGCTTCCTTCTTTTGGCCTCTGATGGGGATTTGTCACACTGATGGCTGGTGTTGAGGAACTATCTGGTTCGCCGATACCTCACTAGACGGCTTTTTCAGCCAGTCTCTGGGCTAGCTAAGCAGATGAGGCAGTAACAGCAAACACATTGAGAAACACCAGCCGTTTATTCGTTCACAGCCTTAGAGACAGCAGGAAGCAGTGAGCATGCAAAAGAAAGTTACCACTGGGAGTTCCTCCCACCAGCACTCCATTTATCCATCCCACCCAGTCATTATTGACACATTCCCCTACATCTGGCAGTCTTGCCCCAACATCCACCCAACATCCCTTCTCTTACTCGGATTGTTGTTTTGCTGTCTGACACCACGGTGTATGCTATCCGCCCGTCACCAGCTTGCACCCAAGGTACGTGTGTGTGTGGCACTCTCCACCAGTCAATGAATCGATTCAGCTTTGGTTATAGACAGGCGACTATCACGAGCTATCGGCACTGCCCCCCATCGTCTGGGCGTCGCATCATGGGCTGTTGATGTGTCGCTGATGTTCATTGTGTGTGCTGGATGCTGCTGTGGCGCCGTGAGTCCATTCTTTCCATCTGGATGAGGGGAGCATGGCTAACTACCATCAACCGCCTCAGTACAACCCAGTGCTGAGCCATCGATCCGCTGACTCCTGTGAGGAGCTCCAACTCAAGCGGAGCTCAACAGGCTGCAGATCGGCTTATATTCTGTCCTTTTAGATTTGTTTCTCCATTTATTTGAATCACAGGGCCTCCAAGATGACTCCCATGTGGGCAGCTGGATTTACAATTGGTTTTTAGGATCTTATTTGTCCAAATACTTTTGCTGCTACTTTGTAGATCTGTAGGACCTAATCTATTTATTTTTGTTAATTTCGTTACTTCTATCTCTGAATTTGGTTACTGGTACTTATTCTTACTATTTTTAACACATGCAAACAAATGATAGGGAAATTTTCATTTTTCATTTACCATATTTTTCAGAGTATAAGACGCACCCCCCACCAGAAGTGGCTGGAAATGTCTATGGGTCTTATACAGCGAATGTTGCTGAAGCCCCAGCCCCCGCCCTCAGTCTTCAGCCTCTGCCTCCCAGCAATTTGCCTCCTTGCAGCAAGCAGCAAATGGCCTGATCAGCTTCAGCATAGTCTGATTTAGCACAAACAGCTGATTGTTGGTTGGATCTGCCTCCCAGAATACCAACAATAAGCTGTTCCAGTCTGTAGGGATCGCCATTGACTATAGCTGCCTCCACACACCCCTTTTGGCTCCTCATGCCCTTTTTTTGTCCTCCACATGCCCCACGGGATGCACAGAAGCCAAAAACGGCACATGGAGGCCATAAATGGGGTGCACAGAGGCCATAAATGGGGTGCATGGAGGTGGTGATAGGCGGTGGTGATACCTGCAGACTGGAACAGCTGATTGTTAGTATTCCAGGAGGCCAATCCAACTGACAACCAGCTGTTCATGCTAAATCTGGCTGTGCTGAAGCTGACCAGGCTGTTTGCTATTTCTGCAAGGAGCCAAATTGCTGGGAGGCAGAGGCAGATTTTTTTTCCCGTTTTCCTCCCTCAAAACTAGGTGCATCTTATAGTTCAGAGCATCTTATAGTCCAAAAAATACAGTAGTTGCATAATAATTCTGCACACTAATAGTTGCCCAATAATTGTGCAAACATAGATATTCTCCTAAGAAAGCCAAAACCTCACTTTTACTTTCTTAAATATTTAGGTTTGAGATTTATTAACATTTTTGGATTGACTTGAGAGCTTAGTTGTTCAATAATAAAATAAATCCTCCAAAATACAACTTGCCTAATAATTGTGCACAGTGTATTAAACTATGGCTGCAGGCCACTGTACATTGCTTCTTTCAAACTGCAGCAGATATATGGGAACAGTGACAGCATGTCAGCTTTCAGAAATAGGCAAGGAATTGATATGCATCGGTAAGTTGTAGAGAGAAGAGTGCGGATATATTTTATCAATACAAGAGTTGTGCTTTCTACCAAAGGTGATTAGTAATCATAAAAACAAGGGAGGGGAGACTAGGAAGATATACACGATAAATACAATGTGCTATAAATGCTTATAGAAAGCGTATGAAAATAATAAAATATGAATCAACATTAAGCAAAATATAAACTAATTTGTTCGATACACAGATGCACAATATAAATGTCCTTCTCCATGTCCTTTGGAAATAAAGGTTTGGCTAGATTAGTGGGGAAATAGTCTAGGTACTATGGTTGCCATTTGGATGGTGTGCATCTTCTTGCCAATAAGGTAAGTGGTACAAGAAATGTAAAGATACCTGGCAACTATTTTTTCCAGATGAAGCTGCCTTATTAGAAAAAACATATGCCAACGTATTATACAAAGTGCCATGATTCATAGAACAAACTGTGTAAAAATAATGTCATAAGACAGTTACAGGGCGGTGTTGCTCCAGTTGAATTTCCAGTGCAATTCGTTCCTTGTGAACTTCCTAGATAGCACAAATGATATGAAATAATTAGAGAGCAATTTGGCAGAAATATGTATATATAAAAAACAATTGTTTTAAAATGCAGACTTATGAACTCTACTTTTGCAGTTTCTGAGTTTTACTATGTGTCCTTTTAATAAACTATAGCAATAACAAAATAAACTGACACTCAAATGTTGTCAGTAATTTGAATGCTCCACCATTATCCTGATTTTTTTTTAGTTTAGTTTACGTTGTGATTCCACAAGAAGTTTCAATACCTAAGATACAAACATTTTTTTCCAAAATATGTTTTAAGTTTCTGAAAACTAAACCATAGACTTTTGATAGAATAGAATAGAATAGAATAGAATAGAATAGAATACTTTATTGGCCAAGTGTGATTGGACACACAAGGAATTTGTCTTGGTGTAATTACTCTCAGTATACATAAAGAAAAAATACATTCCTTAAGAATCAAGAATCATAACATACAACACTTAATGATAGTCATAGGGTACAATCAACAATCAAATCATACTAGGAAACAGTCAATATAAATTGTACAGATACAAGCAACAAAGTTACAGTCCTACAATCACAAGTGGGAGGGGATGGGTGATAAGGAGTTATGAGAAGATTAACAGTAATAGTAGTGTGCACTTTGTAAACAGTTGAACAGTGTTGAGGGAATTATTTGTTTAGCAGAGTGATGGCTTTGGGGAAAAAACTGTTCTTGTGTCTAGTTGTTCTGGTGTGCAGTGCTCTATAGCGTCGTTTTGAGGGAAGGAGTTGAAACAGTTTACGTCCGGGATGTGAGGGATCTGTAAATATTTTCACAGCCCTCTTTTTGACTCATGCAGTATACAGGTCCTCGATTGATCTATCTATCTGGCACTCTTGAACTCTACTGTGATACTGATCAGTTGAATGCATTCATTGATAAAGAGTTTTAGGGACCATCCTTGAATTAACTCAACTGGTCAAAAATATGAAAGAAATGCAGTCAATAACCCATGTCAATCACTTGATAAGAAGTATCACTGGAAAGAAGATTAACATTAATGTTACATATTTTTTCCATAGATGTAGGCAGTAAATTATATTTCAGAAAACAGTTGTCTCAATTTTATTTATAATTTAGGAGTTATTCTGCTGTCTTATTTGTAGGAAATGGACTTATTTGCAGTTAAGAAAAAGAATTCTGATGAGTATCTTATGTGCTATATATATATATATATAGCCACAACATACATACATACATATATATATATGTATGTATGTATGTATGTATGTATGTTGTGGCTCCGGGCTTGGATTCAGCTCCTGTGATTGATATGAGTTCAAGTAAGGAGGTCATGGCAGAAAAATATGAACCGGCCTGGCTTAGTGATTGGACTGATAACCAGGATGAGGAGATGGACGTGACAAAGGACGACAGACCTGATGTATTAGAATTGTCAGGACCTTTGACCTCCTCTGGTTCCTTATCTGATCAACAGCCGGGAATGGCTGACAGGGAAGTTTTGAGAGAGTCTCCTAGTGGAGATGAGAACTTGGAAAATTTGTGGTTAAATGTAAAAAATAGAAGACGGTTGAGAAGGCAAAATCAGCTGGAGCGAATGAGGAGAGGAGTCAGTAAATTAGCACGTTGCCTCAATGAGTATAAAAGGACACAGCTGGGCTGGTACATTTTGCCAGGAACAAAATGACTATTTGAGTGAGGACGTTACAGCAAGAAGCTCTGAGACTGGAGATTTATTGCCAGGACTGGTTTGCTGGACAGAGTAAAGATTTATGCTGTGGTTTCTGCCAGCCGTTATCTTGTAAGACTTCTTTCCGTTTGATTTAATTGTGAAACGGCTGCTTTCTGTTTTGTTCGTTTGAATTTTGAAGGGGAGTCATAACATATATATATATGTTATATATATTCTGGATATATTAAATATCAAAACCCAAATTATTATAGCAAAGTATATTTTGCATCAAAAAGATTAGTTAACTAGAAAAACGTGTTTTACTTTCCACTTCAAATACATTTTGAATAATGGGATTGTCTCTGCAAAAAGGACATTTCCTCATCCCATGACCACAAAGTTTTATTTTTTTTTAAGTGCTAATATGATTATATATAAACATTTATTCATTCAGGGACATGAAGGGAGAGCTTCTGTCAGTGTAGAAAATGGTATGAGGACATAGGGAACTCATATTTATCACTTCCATAAATATATTTACATTTATTTAATTCATGGAAGGTTCCTTTTCACTCCAGTTCTCAGCTACCCATTCTTCTGTTTCAAGAAGAACATTTCTATTTTATACTAATGCTTACATTTTCTTCATGTACAAGTGCAAAAAGAGATGTATGAGCATTCCTTACCTTCAGTTGTTGCTGGAGTTCACTGTTCAACCGAACTAGCACTGCATTAGCTTCTTTGTTTTTACGAATAGCAGTCTGAATAGCTTTCTTCTGCTTTGAAGACGGTCTGCCAGAGATAAAGACAACCCCTATTTTTAATTAATAGGACAATTTAGATGATAGACAAAGAGGACATGGTGGGCTTAAATTAAAACAAAGGGAAAACATTGGGGAATGCACCTTTAAAATATGTAACCCCTGTCATTACAGTATAAGTAAACTATTGCTATGATTTCCAACCTGATATCTAATTTCCCTATAGAATTCTCCTCTGTGTTTATTATTTGATTTATATCCCAGTTTTATCTTGTATCATTCAAGGTATAATGCTATCACCTTCTATTTCCCCCAACAACATCCTGTAACCGGGAATGGACTAAGAAAGAGTCCCAAGTCAGAACTTGGCCCCAAGTCACCTAGCAAGTTTTCATGCCAAAGGAGGAATATAACTCATATTTCCCAGTTTCTTCAAAACTTTATTAGGAATATTTGCATCCAGATACATTTGTTATTTTCCTTTATTAAATAATATTTTGTTAGTTTCCTTCCAAATCAAGTAGTTTATGTATTACAAAGAAGTAGGACAACTATCTATTACATGCACTACTATATTTGCTACTATATTTGCTTAATAACATATAAATCAGTCCTAAATTATGATGCCACAAACTAAAACAGATTTATTTTTGGAAGATTATCCTCTGGATTTGTTATACCTTTCTATTCCATTTTTAAAAAGAAAGATATTTACAATTTTATTTATAAAGAAAACTAATGAATGATGACAACAAAGCCAAAATTATTTCTAAGAGGTATTTTATAGTTCTCAATGAGGTGTTGACCACATGAGCTAAAGCAGATACTTTATTTTGCAAACACACAAAGCTTATGTGAAAATAAGTCCTTGACTTGTTCTATCTTTCTAAAGCAGTTGACAGTTTGAGCTCTTGAATCTCCAGTGCCTTTTCCTGAAAAATTTAGTCTCTTCAACTGACTTCTTCCACATCTCTCAGATCTAACTATGGAAAACAAATATGTTTATTTTAATTCATTTTCCTCTAATATATTATACCACTAGGAAACACCTCCTTATAAATGAGGCTCAAACAATACTGCTTGCAAATCACAACAGTTCTAAGGAGACTTCAAACTTCCACATTATTCACCCTTCCCATCCATTACATATGCCTTAAAAGGGTATGATTTATAGTAGCTCCTTGCATCTTAGAACATTTGGGGAAAAGCAAGGACTGATTGAACATATTCAAATACTAGAAAATGTTTCTGTGCACAGAAGTTGTCCTCCGTTAACCTAATTAGAGTCCTGGAAGGGACATACAATTTTCTATCCAGGCTCTTGCAAAACTCTCCACCCACAACTGAAACATGGATTAACTGTTCTCTAGAGAGTCCTCTACATAGTCCAGAGGGTAATATTTTAGCAGTACAGACATTTTTGACAATGGATTAGCATTCCCCAAACTAATAAGAAATGAATTGCACAAACTGTATCTCTATCTGTTCTTTGTGTCCCTAAGAGATATTTTCAAAGTAGTTCACTTGCATTTTATCCCATATTACCTCTGAAAGAAATCTAAGCCCCTCTATGTTGTCAAAAAACCCACACCTCTCCCATTTTCTCATGTAGCATAAGTCAGCCCTTTTACTTTGGAAATGCATGGTGAGGTTTGACGGTAGGTAAGGAAGAAGCGGTTGCACTTTTCACTGGAGAAAGTTCCTGGTTCTCCAGCATGTGGCTTTCAGGTCGGAATTTCCTGTGAATTGGCTTTGATGGTAGCTGAGTAAGTACAAGGTCCTATAAAGTAAAATAAAAATCATATTTTAAAATATTTTTATTAGACATTTCAAAGAAAATATGGAAACTTGTGAAGAAAAGGAACAAAGAAGAGATAAAACAATAAACAAGGGATCTGCAAACATTATAAAAGCTAAAATTTTCCAGTTTTGTATACTGTATCATTTGTTGATTGTGAATAATGGAATATATCATATCTTTTTATAAGCCTGAAAATGACTATTAAACTCCAAACCAAAATTTCCCAAACTTTCTTGGTTAGTGGCTCAGTAATTTTTTTCATAGTGCTTCTCAGTTTCCAAATTGTGTACCTTATTACCAGTCAATACATCATATGCTTTATTGATGTGTTCTCAGGCCCAAATCGTCGTTAACTTCAGCAGTAAGCTTTGACATTGGCACAATACAGAAATATTTCTGCAACTCTTTGTTTTGGACTGAAGCAATATTTCAACTATTAAATGAAAAATTGGACTAAAAGTGAACACTTAAAAGAATGTTACTTGAAATACGAAGCAAAAGATACTATGGAATATGGGTTAGGGAATGTACAGTATTTCAATACAAATATAATACCACACAATACAATACCATAACTCTAGAAAAAAACAGCATTGTAGAATGAATTATTTTAGCCTGAAAATTAATTTAATTGAAAACATCTGTAAAGTGTGCAATCTATACATTGTTAATGTTAACATAACTACTGCTAAAATAATATTGTGCCATCCTGTAGAATCTTCCATGTTCAGGGCATGCATGTTTATTTGGCCGTCTGAAATTGCTGCCAACCTGTTGAGTCCAATCCAGGTATCTTACTTGAACATTCTGCCAGGGATGCTGCAGTTTTCTTGCACTGGACTCATTCCTATATATAGGACAGGGAGTTCATCTGCCCAAATAATTCATCTTTACAAATGCAACATGAGTTGTTCTAAAAATATTGTCACAGCATTAATCAATTGAACTTAAAAATACATCTCAGCTCAAAATTCCTGACTATATAACTTCATTAATTTGTTATTATGAAATCCTTGGAAAAAAATCTTATTTTAAAAATTAATTAATGAAGGGAAAGTCTGATTTTTTCCACCAGAAATAATTTCAATGACAATAGGATATTTTTTATAGAATCTTTATTTTAAAATAGGTATATTTCTTTTTTTTTTAGACCTAATACTGAGATAATCTTTCCTTGGATTAAAAACTCTGAAAGATTTTCAGATGCTCAGATATACGTTTGCTGTCTTGAGTTATTTATAAGAATAATAAAGGCGGGATTTAAAAAAAAACACTAATAAATAAGTCATACACCTGTTGATTAGCTTTTTGATTAAGATTGCCATTTTAAAAGAGATTTATATTTTCTCGAAAAAAAATTCAGAGACCAAGATTAAAATATTAAATGAGCATTTTCTTAGCTTTAATATTTTCTTTAAACACCATGACAATAACAAACTTTATTAGAAACTAAAAATGGCAAAATGGCATAAACAATGGGAAATAAAAACAAGATTTGAGCAAAAAATAATGAAGAACAATCTTGAAGTTATCTACACCATACTGAACAATATAATTATTAAAAATAAATATATATGGCAGTATATAATTAATTTTATAGATCTAAAACAAGAACTTAGTACTGAAGAATACATGATATGTCCTTACCTTTTTTGCTGGGCTGCTTTCTTGTGATGGGGACATATTCACTGGCAAATGTGAGTTTATTTCAGAGTCTTGTTCTATCTGTAAAAATGTGAAAACTTCTGTACTATCAATAATTGCAGACTTTCATTCTTAATTTGGGTATTGGGGGAGGGATGATGGCCATGATACAAGCTCTGTCATTTTTCTAGGCACATTCAAATTTAACATGCCTCCACATATAAACAGTAGAACTCATCTCCCAGAGTTGATTATTGGATTCAGTAGATGCTTTTGATAGACAGTTTTTACCATTTGATAGGACTTCCAGAGATGAGCTTAGTTTTTAAAGGTTAGGAAGTGTCAATGGGCTGGAGTAGTCTAGAAGCTACAGAAAATGAATGAATAAATATGTTTTCTGAAATTCCCATGTAATAAAGTATTTAGTGTATAAAACTTTTAGTGCACAATGTTTTACATGTAGTGAACAAGGTGTTGAAGGATAACTTCATTTTCAATTAAAAAGATTTTGAACACTTGAATAATATAACCATCAGGCATTCCATATATACGATCTATGTATAAAACAGCAGCACATCTCATTTTCTAAACTTTCCAAACTGAATATTTTTTCATTTTTATCTTTTAATTTAGAAAAACCAGACCACGTAGATAAATGTGCACATCTTAATAGAATGCATCTTAATACAAGTGGGAAAATTGTTGAGGTAATTCCCCGTTAGGAGAATGAGCACATACAGGGAAACTTTCATCCAATGAGGAAAGAATGATGTAAATTTGATGCAGCTCTGAAAATATTAGTTCTTTTTTTTTTTAACAAATTTTATTCAGTTTTTCACATAAAAACAAAAATCTCTTTTTAGTGGACAACATATCTCCAGGTCGTCACCTTTACATACAAATATGACAGCAATTATACATTCATATATGCATACTTAATTCTATAATTACCTTTTCTATTCCAAATTTTCAGTTAGGAGAGAAACAAACACATTAATTCTGGCCTCTTTCATTAATCTCAATCGAAACATCTTTTCATTTCATTTCAATTATTTCAAATATAATCCTTTAATATTTATTTTAAAAATAAAGATAAACAATATGTGTTTGAATAATAATAATAATAAAGGTTACCAATGTCTCTCCTTGCTTTTAATAGTCTATATGACTTATTAATTTAGTTGGTTCTTTAGTCTGTCATATTCCCTTTCCATTACACATTCTTTTTATAAATTCTAAATTAATACAAATTTTAACACTAAAGGAAAAAAAACAAGTATAGGTTTCCCCCCTTTTACTGCTTTGAGTGTGACACCTCAATGGTTAAAATATACCTTTATTCCCTCATCTTGATTCCCAATAAACCATTATTTTTAAGAAGTTACAATAATAATAATTACATCATTTCATTTGGATTCTGCAGCGTATTTTCCCCCCTTAATTTTTAATAAGAGTTATCAATATCTATATTACCCTATTTTCTAAATATTTTTAATTGCAGAAATATTCCTATTACCCCTTGTCACCCTGCAGAATCCCCTTTTTAATTCATCAACCATTATCTCTGAAAAAACAATTTCTTTTCAACATTTTACTATTTCTGTATTTCTTTATTTCATGCACCCGTTTCTTACTGCTTCTCCTCCCCCTCTTTTCCCCATATCTTTTCTCATTCCAATTTATATCCCTCTCTTTCTTAATATCTTCCTTTCCCCTTTTCTGCTGGGTCTTTCTGTCTTTCCCAACCTCACAGGTATTCCCCCTTTTGATTGCCTTCTTAAGTCTCAACTTTTTAACCTTCCTTCTTTCCCCACTTCTTTGTAGTGTTCTTTGTGTTAATTGTCTATTTAAAATGTCTTCTTGAGTTGACTCCTCCTCCTCTGAAGCTCTTTCTTGTTCTTCAATCGCCATTTCCATTTTTTCGAACACAGAACAAAGTGATTTGCCTCTTTCCTGTAGTAATTCTCTCATATTTTTAAGTTCCATTTTTAATTCCCGAAGAGATATCATCATTGCACACTCTTGTATTTTATGATCGTTAAAGTCCACAAAAAAACCACTTTTACTTTCCTTCTTTCTTCTTTCAATTTTCTAAAGTTCTCAATTGTTCCAGCCCAGGGTCTGTACCAAAAACACCAATCCCACAGTCAGTCTTTCCTTGCTTTTTGTTTTATTCTAGTTCTGCTTTCACTTTCTAAGTTTCTTACTTTGTTTCAATATTTCTTTAATATTATATCCACACAAGTTCATTCAGAAACAGGATGCTTTCCCTTGTTTGAGCTCAAGTTTTTGTCAAAAGGTGGCACTCTCCATTATACAAAGTCTTCACCTTTTTCCCCTATTTTTTTAAACCTCAATATTTTCGAACCTCAATATTCCAACACAGTCCAGTCTCCAATTTGTAAACTTTATTATTATTATTTTTTGACAATCTTAAGTCCAGTTTTATTTTATGCCTGTTTATTGCCAAAATATTTTAGTCCAATTTAGTTAAACCTTTAGTTCCAGCTTCTTCCTTTCCCGGTTCAAAGCCCCACTTAGCTGTCAGAAATATTTTCTTATTTTTTTTCCTGTCCCTTTGTAATTTCGCCGCTCACTTTTCTTTTCTTAAAAATTCCATGTTACCTTAATCCCGGGGTACTTTTGTTTAGTTGCATTGCCCAATTGTCAGATTTTATCAATTGTCAGATGTTATCCACCTCTTTCTTCCCTCCTGCACAAATCTTAATCCAGCTGAGTCCTCCTCTTCGGGGTGGCCATTTTAAACCACCACTGCAGTCATCTTTGGGGGGAAAAAGACCAAGCCCAGGAGGAGAGATGCGGCTCCCCTCACCCTGGCTTGCAGCTTCCCCTTACTCCACTGCCCCTCCAAGGCAGCTTCAGGCCCTAATCATAATGATTGGGGCTCTCCAACGAAAGAGCACAGACCATAGCCACAGAGAGATGTGATCTATGGTCTGTCAGTGAGGAGGCTCCGCCTTCTTCCAAAATATTAGTTCTTTTTTATGTAGCTCTTGAAAAGTTATTTTCATGAAGTTTAAATGAGCTAACGTATTTCCACCTTTCAGAAGATGCACTCTAAACAGTTTACGTGTAAGATGTATGTGTGCACCTACACTGTCACGAACATAAATCTTCTTCAAATTCTCCCAACACCTAGCAGCAGACTCTTCTCCACGAATATGGACTAGTTGCTGGTCACTCAGTGTTAGTCCAATTATACAAAGAGCTTGTTCATTTTTCTGTTTAAAGCCAGGAAGTTTCTTGGCATCATCCTCATTAGCTGGATCCCAAGCATTTACAGCTGGTAGGTCTTGAACTACATTCCATAAACCTTCTCTACGCAGAAGTAGACTGCACTTCATAGACCAGGAAACATAGTTTGTTCCATCCAACCGGGTTATCAGTGATAGACTTGTTGGAGTGTCTTGGGCCATCTTTACCAGGATAGTAACCCACAATTAAACAGTAAACAGCTGTCTGTATACAGTATTGTGCATTCACACTAACTCTCAGTTAACTGTGCCTAGTATGGTCTGGGCCCATAACCAGTGTTGAGGTAATTCCCCGTTAGGAGAATGAGCGCATACAGGGAGACGTATAGAGAGTAGTGTTTGAATAATACACATACAGCACACAGATACACTGTCCAGTAAATGTAGGTTTTTACTTTCAGAAACGTTAAGCAAAGTCCAAAATAGGCAGTCCAAAGTCATCCACAGGTAAATCAGTCAGTTTTTTCAATCCAGGGATAATCCAATAACAAATTCCAGTGTCAAAAATAGTTCAGTAACAAACTTTCATCAAATCCAGAAATACCAGTTAATTAGGAAAAATGGAGGAACGGCAATACTTTCCAACAGAAGGAAACAGATACACTCACACTCTCTTCTGAGAATCAGACTAAAACTAAAACAACCCAGGTTTTGGGTTCTGGAAACCACACCTAATTACAGTTTTGCATTTTCTTAAACATACAGTTTTGAAATGTTTATCCTGGTTTATATATTTCTAACCCAAATACCTGTTAGGTGACTTATATTCCTAACAAAAATGCTGGAAGTGGGAAATTTATGCTGTATTATGAGGCTTCTGTTGTATGAAAGTGAAAGTTGGATATGTTAGGAGAAATATAAAAATGAATACAGTGGAAGTGGGTCCTCAGAAGAACATGTGGTAAGTCAAGAAGACATAGGGCAAACAAATGCATGTTAAATATAGTTTTAAGATTTATAAAACTGATGCATTGCTTCCTTTGTGAAGTAATCACTGAATCAAAGGGATATACCTGTTTTGGAGATGAAGCTGTTCAAAAAGAACAAAACAGCTACTGAGAATAGCTGCTCTTTTGTATCATATGTCCTGATAGAACTTCTCTACTCATGTGAATCATACAGTCAGAATTTATCTAGGATATACAAAGCCCTTAATATACAGTTAATTAAGGATGCTGTGGCTAATAGTACTGAATGCCAACAGGCCTAGCAGAACAGGGATAGCATTGGTCCTTCCATCAATGCCTCACTGTAAGAGCAATCTGAGCAACCAATTTCCATTCTGTACTCTGACCTGAACCCCAACTACCATAGATCCAGGTAATCTGCAAAATGAATGAGGATTTAATAGCAATACCAAATATATGAAGTGTGTATAAACTGGGAGAAAAGAAAGTTGTGGTTGGATGAAATTAATAAGATCTTCATAAAGAGAAGAATTTTGATAACAAAATGCAATACATGGTGAAATCCAGGATAGCTTTCAAGGAACGATATGGAGAGAATATAAGTGAATGTTAGTGGAATAAACTAGATTTATAGGTAATTGTGGAGTTTTTTTGGTCTTAATTTTTTTGGCTTACCATGCTTTACCTAGTGTTGGTAATATAAATGGGAATAATGATAAGCATGGTATATGTGTTATTTGTATACTAAAACAGCGTTTCCTAACCTTTGCAACTTGATGAACTGTCTGGGCGGAATTGGGTCGTGCAAGTGGTAGGCTGACGCACATGCAAGCTGCTGCATACAAACACTCTGACCAGCCACTCATGCAGCCCAATTCCAAATAGGCCATGGCTAGTA